GAAATGGGCCTATATTAAAACCTTAGGCCGCCGTGAATGCCAATTTTCCCGGTTCCATGCTTTTTCCCCGCCTCCTCAAACCCCAAAATTTAAAACACTCCCGCCTCCCCCCTGGCCTGAGTCGACCTATAAACCCCCGCACATTCCCCCGCATGCGCAAAGGGAACTCTTGGTTCTATCCTATTGTCAAATACATTTTTGATTCATATCGACACATTGAACACCTATTAGGTGCTATAGCTTCGGAAAATCAAAAATTTTTTCCCCAATGTATATATATATATATTATATATGCAAAAACAAAACCCCTGTGAAAGAATTTGAGAAATTCCAAGCGCTTTCGTGACTACTCACATTATCAAGGAACAATGAAAGTAAAGCATCAAAGGAAGGTATATAAAGGGGTAGCCCACACCTCACTATCAGATCCCACAACAAAGAAGCACCTGACGTGAGACAGCAGGCCCGCCGGCCGAACTAGACAGGTCCTTCACACAACCCACCAACAAACTATTCTACCCAGGAAATAAGAAATTTAAAAAAAAATTTTTTATTTGTCCAATGTATTATTAAATTCTTCCCAAATTCTTTTAAAATTTTAAATGGATATAAATTTATATAAACCAAAGGAAATATTCATATTGTTGTCAAAACTGTTTTTTATGAAACAAGATTCAATTATATTCCTGTCGACCATGGACTTGCTTGATACTACTTTCTCAACTTTTTGAAAATCAATTGGATGGTTAAAATCTCTTACATGAATAAATAGAGCATTGGAATCTTGTCCAGTTCTAATGCTATATTTATGTTGTTTTAATCTTAGTTTGAGATTTTTACCAGTTTGACCGTAATAAACTTTATCGCAAATTTTACAAGACACATCCATCAGCATTTTGGGGGGAATTCTTTATCAAAAGCTTTTTTACTGTATCAAGATTTTTGAATACAACTTTGATATTAAAAGTCTTAAGAAGAGAGGGCGTATCAACCAGTTTTCAGGGTGGGGAAAAACCCCATATTTTTTTGAAAAAAGGCTTTTTTCCCTTTTTGGATTGTAAAAAGTATTTCTAGAAACTTAAAAGATTTAAATTCAAAAATATAGATTAGAACGGACAAATTTCCAATTTATTTATTCATGAAGAATTTTAACCATCCATTTGATTTTCAAAATTTTGAAAAAAGTTACAACAAGCCCATGGTCGACGGGAATATAATTGAATCTTGTTTTATAAAAAGCATTTTGACAATAAAGAAAATTTCCTTTGGTTTATATAAAATTAGATCCATTTTTAAATTAAAAGAAAATTTTGGGGAAGAATTAATGAACATTTGGGCAAATAATAAATTTTTAAAATTTTTTTATTTCTTGGGTAGAATAGTTTTTGGGGGTTTGGGGAAGGACCTTTTAGTTGGGCCGCGGGCCTGCTGCTCACGCAGGTGCTTCTTTCTTGTGGGGGTCTGATAGGAGGTGGGGCACCCCCTTATATACCTTCCTTTGAGCTTTTCTTTTATTGTTTTATAATGTAGTAGTCACGAAAGCCTTGGAATTTTCTCTTCTTTCACAGTGGTTTTTTTGCCACACACCACACACCCACTTAATATAATATATATATATTATAAATATATTATATATATTATAATATATATATATATAATAAAAATATAATAATGTGTGGTTGTGTGTTGTGTGTGTGTGTGTGTGTGCAAAAAAACCACGTGAAAGAATAAGAAATTCCAAGGCTTTCGGACTAATATATAATATAAAAATATATGTTATATATATAAATATATAAATATATAAATTAATAATTAAAAAATATATATATTCATTGGACAGAAAAAAAACTTCCTACAGGGAGGGAAGAAAAAAACAAGAGGCAGTTAGGGTCGATGGGCATCACTGCACGCCTTCCTGCATCTGGACAGATACTGCAACACAGGAGACATCTCTGCGGCTAAGCTGTAACGTAAAAGGGCACTCGGATATACAGCTCTGGCAATGAATTCACATGGAAAACAGCAGAAAACACAGCAGAGGGAGTGAGTAGTGAAGTGTGTTGGTAGGCAAGTGAGGTGTGAGTAAGGCGAGCGTGGGGTGAGGCGAGGAATGGCCACTTCCTCCTTTCCCACCCATAAACACGGGGAGAACTCTCACATTGGATGCAGAAATCACCACAAACTCACCTCTGACTTGCTGAAATAGCTGTGCTGAGATGAATAACATGAGCAGAACATACAAGTGACACCTCACTTTAAGAAATACTCAATTGCCCAATTTTATTCTAAAATCCCTATTATTGCCCAATTTTGCTTTAAACTATATTGATCAAACTTATTGTAAACTTCTTTTATTGACCATTTTATTCTATACTTTTTTAAACTAGTATTTTCAACTACAACTTTTTTACTATCCTGTCTACCATCTACCATCTACCATCTACCATCTACCATCAACTGCAGCAACACACCTAAAGCCAATAATAACCCAACAAAAAGCTGCAGTAGGAATAATCACTAAATCCCATCCCTGGCAACACCCCCCCCACTCTTCATAGATCTAAACTTACTCCCTGTTCAGTACATCCACACTTACTACTGTGCAATCTACATCTACAGGACCTTAAACTCCAATATCAACCTTGACCTAAAACACTTTCTTGATAGTTGTGACAGAACCCACAGGCATAACACCAGACACAAACATCTCTACGACATTCCCCGTGTCCGACTAAACCTTTACAAAATTCAATGTATGTCAAAGGCCCTAAAAATCTGGAACACCCTACCTGAGAACTCTAGAACTGCAGACACATTCATCACCTTCAAAACTACCATTAGAAAACATCTTATCTCCCTGATAAACCCCACCAACTAACTACACGAATACCACCTGGTGGTTCACACTTACACTCACTCACCCATTTGACCATAAACAGAAATATTAATCTGAATCTTAAAATAATGAATCCTATGATACTCCAATATTGAAACTATGTACTGTGCCAAAACAAAAGCATTCACATTGCTAAACTCACAAACTAGTATTTAGTCACTTAGCCATAATACCAACTTACCTGTTGAAGATTGAGACACTTATGCAGCATATGGAAATCTTTATTCAGGAATAAAGATTTCCATATGCTGCATAAGTGTCTCAATCTTCAACTTGTCGGTTTTTCAAACCATTCATACCAACTTACCTCATAATTTGTAATATTTTAAAATAAAGAATTAAACTAAGTCTGCCCGAAATGCCTAGCCATGCTAGGCGTTCTAGTGGTACACTCTGTAATCATTATTTGACTACATGTAAACCACACAACAACCAAATTCTGTAAATTCAACATTGTAATCTTTATAGAGAATAAACTTTGAATTTGAATTTGAATTTGAAGTGTACAAGTGACTTGAGAAACAGCGTGGGACGCTGTGGCGTAGTCACTGGGACACCATTTACAATTCTCGAAGAAATTCGGCAAATTTCTTCCTGGATCCTGCGTGGTGTTATGTCGCGATGCTGAAACGTGCAGACAGGACATCAGGATAACTCGTTGAGAGACGGATGCTTCTTGTGTGGGGTGATGAAGTGAAGACTTCATTCCTCTTCCTTCCTCCTCGGGCAGCACAACCGCTGCAACCACCACTGTTCACCAATGTTTAATGGGTTATTTGGTAGTTCTTGCAAAGTGGGGTTCAATGATAAGACTTCTATTTGCAATGTCGTGGGGTACACAGGCAGTGTGTTTGAGCGCGCATGGCCTGGGAGGGCCATGCCCAGTGAGGGAGAGAAGAGTAGACCCTTGTTGTCTGAGTGAAGTGAGCTGCCAGAGTGAGGGAGAGGCAGGGGTGGGCACACTGAAGTGGTAGGCCTATAGGTGGCAGCACCAGCATGGTGCAAAATATGAACTCAGCTGGCAGACAGCATAGGCTGTTTGTGCAGACAGTACAAGCTGTCTACATACAATACATTAGGCTAGAAATTCTAATGTGCTACAGTACATTAGGCTGGAAAGCCTAATGTGCTACCATACATTAGGCTGGAACGTCTAATGTGTTACCATACATTAGGCTGGAAAGCCTAATGTGCTACCATACATTAGGCTGGAATGTCTAATGTGCTATGGTACTGTGGAAAATAATGTATTTTCCGGAGAAAAATACAGTGTATTTTTTATGTAAATTAGTGTACTACATTGTATTTAATAAAATTTATGTTATAAAAAATGGGAAATTCTGCGCCTGCGCAGAGGATGCTCGCCATTGTTGTTTGAATTGGACAAGAAACGTTAGTGAATAATCGGAAGAATTTTCGTCACTCTAGAGGTTAAATTGGGTTGACACCTCTCAAATAGGAGCCGAAATTGTTGGATGTGCATTCCTGCATAAGTTGAGCATTAAACCGATGTACAGGGCAGCTCCAGGAACCTCAGATAAGTCTGTTTATGTTAAATTCTGGCCAGTAAATTTATCATAATTGACTTGACACACAGTTCTCTCCAGTCAAATTGGTGAATGGTATTAAGATATATTCTCCTTCTGTTATATAATTGCATATGTAATCATTTATTAATTTAAATATACAGTCCACAAATTTTTATATTTACCAGAATTCCTGGTGATGCATATTTCATTTGTAATTAATAGGTCTAGAGCAACTTGTGGATATGACAGTTGTAGGTATCGAAGGGGGACATTTTTTGCGACCTAGGTGTCCCAAATTCCTACTTGTCTATGTAACTCTGATAAATAATAATTATCTTTGTGACCATTTACTGGTATGTACATTATGAGTTACATCCAGATAAATGTAATTTTCCACAGGTACATTAAGCTGGAAAGCCTAATGTACTACCATGCATTAGGCTGGAAAGCCTAATGTGCTACGATGCAGTAGGCTGGAAAGCCTAATGTAAGGACAGTAAACTTTACATAATCGGCTAACAAAAGAATGAGTTAATAATTGACAGTTATAGCTACCATAAATTATATTGTCATACCAGACTCCAGGAGTGGAGGTGTCGTTCTGGTAGTTCCAGGGAGTGGAGTCGTACACTGCTTCACTGTTGATGTCCATCCATGAACCCAGTTGTCGTAGTCGTTCTTCCATGATGGTCGGTATTCGGCCGTCGTGCGTCGGACCCACGTTGATCAGTATATTACCTGTTGTAAATATTACGCAGTATAATTATTATCTTCTTACACAAGCACGAAAGTTCAGTTGAAAAGTATTCTTTGTGAAAATAACTTTATTTGCTAGAGCTTTTAAAAAAAAAACAATAATATTAAGCCCATTTCCAGATCTAGCATTCAGTTTTGTACAGATCGTAAACAAATAGTTTTATCTTCCACCTTATCTAATGTGTCTGTTACTGGGAAAACAAAATAAAAATTCTTTGGTCTATTACTTTTCATTAATAGTTTTTAGATTGTGCGTGAAAACAATTTTATCTGTTTTTATCAGTTTAATTGAATATACGTCCGTACCTCCACAGCTTATAGTTTGTGTCAGGGTAGTAATGAGGTCGTGGATGGTGAGGTAATCACTGAGAGGAGCATTACGACGGTAACCCCACGCGACCCTGTCCAGGGTCATAGCGTTTTCCCACTTATGTGGCTGCAACACACCTGTTATAATATAAATGTAGAATTTTAACACATTGTACAACTCCCACTAAGACAGTGTTATAAAAAAATAATTTATCATTTAACGAAAGTCTTGTCTGAAGTGCACAAATATCACATTGCAGACGATCATGGAGACAGCAGCATCACCATCCATTACTTACAGTGCAGGCATTGTACTTCCCACCTCCAGGAAAACAACATCATAAGAATGGAGGAAAACTAGCAGGCCTACAGGCCCATACTAGGCAAGTCCCTCTTAATCCCTGTTACAAAAATATTTGCCCAACTGTGGCATGCAAAGAGTACGTAACCTATATTCGGCGCATGTACACACCCTCATTTACAGGCTATCTCCCCCAACCAGCCAACCAGAGTTGACGATGGGGCCCCGTCGTTCAACTAGTAACCAGGTTCCAGCCAATATGAAGATGGTTTTGGCAATCACAGAGGTTATATGGGTACCACTCTCCTGTCTGCCCTTGTCATTCCCATTCTAGAGCTGGTTAAAGCACGGTCTGCTCTCTAGTGGCTTCTATTCTGCCTTGCTTACCGTGGAGTGCACTAATACACTATATATGTCGTGCCGAATATGTAAAACTGGTCAATTAGCAAGAACTCATTTAAAATTAAGTTCTTTCCAGAATTTTCTCTTATACGTTTAAAGATATATTTTTTTCATTAATGTTAATGAAAATTTTTTTAATTTTGCACCAAAAGAAACTTAGAAAACTTACCTAACCTTCTTATAACAAGAGCAATTTATTTTAGCCCAACTCAACTAAATATATTTTAGATTTGTTTACAGTAATTTAATACTAAACTAATTCAATGAAATATATTTTATATTTTTTTCGTTAGGTTCAGAATGTTTTTGGCGAAATTATTGCATACACAAATTTTCGCTTGTCCTATATGGCAAGATGAATGTTGCTATTTAAGCCAAGATCGCAAGTTCTGCCTACTCGGCACGACATATATATATATATTATATTATATTATATTATTGTAACCACGAACGAGTGGTATTGATCAAGAACAACACTGTGCTAGCCAAGGATTCGAACCCATGTTGTACTGGCCTGCCTCATGGTAAGCGTCATGTGGTTCTCACTTACGATGAGGCAGGCCAGTACAACATGGGTTCGAATCCCTTGGCTAGTGCAGTGTTGCTATTGATATATATATGTATATATATATATATATATATATATATATATATATATATATATATATATATATATATATATATATATATATATAAATGCCTTTAATATGGTGAAGAGAGATGCTGTTTTGCCAGCTGTTCGGGATCGGTTCCCCAGTCTTTTTCCCTTCATTTCAGCCAGCTACAGCAAACGCTCAATTCTTTTGTTTGGAGAACATGAAATTCAATCATCAGAGAGTGTTCAGCAGGGTGACCCACTCGCTCCACTTCTCTTCTGCTTGGCAGTGAGAGAACTAACTTCCAGCCTACGCAGTGAGCTCAATATCTGGTACCTGGATGACGGCACTCTGGTAGGTACTGAAGAGTCCCTGGTGGGGGACCTACAACTGGTGAAAACACAGGGAGAAGACTTGGGACTCATCCTCAATCCCTCCAAGTGTGAAATCATCACAGCGAACCAGGAAATAATCAATGCTGTGCGAAGAATCCTCCCGGAAGTCTCAACTACAACTCCGTCCAACAGTACCCTCTTGGGGGCACCGCTGGGTCACCAGGCCATCGACACTGTCCTCGGGGACAAATTGAATGACCTGATGAGAATGGAGGGGAGAATAAGTGATCTTGATGCCCATGATGCTCTATATCTCCTCATAAGGTGTCTTACGATGCCAAGACTCACTTACTTCTTGAGGTGTGCACCCTCTTTTGACAACCCAACACTCGATGAATATGACACATACCTGAGATCAACTTTTAAGAAGGCACTGAACCTGTCACTAGAGGATGAGCAATGGGATCAGGTAACCCTCCCAGTGCGACTGGGAGGTATAGGGGTGCGTTAAAGCAACGCATGTTGCTTTACCTGCTTTTTTGTCTTCGTGTTTGGCTTCAAGTGCATTAGTCGAGAAGATAGTTCCTGAACGCTAGAGAGACGTGGTAGGAGCTCAAGACCCCAGGTTTACTGAAGCAGCAATTCGGTGGGACACCCTTACAGACTTCTCCAGTAGACCAGCTCCTCCCAAAGAGCACAAATAGTCCCACTGGGACAAACCGATCATGGAAAAAATCGCCAACACAATGCTCTCCAATGCTTCAGGAAAGGACAAAGCTCGTCTCCTGGCAGTGAAGGCACCACACTCAGGAGATTTCCTGTTAGCTGTTCCCAATTCCTCCTTGGGCACCCGTCTCGACCCACAGGCCATTCGGATTGGTGTTACTCTTCGCCTAGCTGCCCCCATCCTCACCGAACATAGGTGTATTTGCGGCAGGGCGACAGCTGATCAATTCGGACTTCATGGTCTCGTGTGTCACACAGCAGAAGGGAAGTATGCCAGACATGAGGAGGTCAACAACATCATAAAGAGAAGCCTCGCCACAGCCCATTGCCCAGCTCAACGGGAACCCCACGTACAGAGGTCTGATGGAAGTCAAAAGCGTCCTGATGGAGCCACTATGCTACCCTGGAAGGATGGAAAGCAGATTGCCTGGGACTACACCTGTGCTGCCACATTTGCAGCCACCTACTTGCCATACTCCGTAGTGGAAGGGGGTGGAGCTGCCATCCACAGGGAGACCCAGAAGATCCGAAAATATGAAGACCTCTCCCCTTGCTATAACTTCATTCCAATAGGGTCGGAGACCCTTGGAGCATGAGGCAAGTGTGCTCTAAAGTTCCTCAAAGAGCTGGGTGAAAAGCTCATCATAGAAACCAAGGACCACAGGGCGACCAGCTTCCTCTTTCAGAGACTCAGTGTTGCGATAAGATAAGATAAGATAAGATTTCGTTCGGATTTTTAACCCCGGAGGGTTAGCCACCCAGGATAACCCAAGAAAGTCAGTGCGTCATCGAGGACTGTCTAACTTATTTCCATTGGGGTCCTTAATCTTGTCCCCCAGGATGCGACCCACACCAGTCGACTAACACCCAGGTACCTATTTGCTGCTAGGTGAACAGGACAACAGGTGTAAGGAAACGTGTCGAAATGTTTCCACCCGCCGGGAATCGAACCCGGGCCCTCCGTGTGTGAAGCGGGAGTTTTAGCCACCAGGCCACCGGGCCACCGGATCCAGAGATGAAATGCCTGCAGGGGAGCTGGACGAAGTATTCGAGATGTAGCTCTGAGTTACCTATGTTGTTTTACTTTCTTTTGAATTTTTGTGAATGTTTGGCCAATGTATTTTGTCTTTAAATAAAACATACTTGAAATATAGGGGGTGGTAGGAGAAAATTCTCAAACAGCTTCAGGGAGAACCTTGAGTTTTCCCTGAAACAAGTTTATTTTTTCTCTAAAGGGTGGGGTCCCCCGGACAGTTCTAGGGTGGGACCCCCCCTATTATATAAAATATAATATATATATTATATATATATTTATATATATTAAATATATTTATATAATTTTAAAATTTTTATAATATTTATAAAATATAATATATTTTATAAAATTATTATATATTAATATATATATATATATATATATATATATATATATATATATTAAAATTTAATAAATATTATTTATTTATTTAATATATATATATATTTTTTTTTTATTATATATATATTTTATTTATAGGGGAAGAGGAGCGATTGGTGGAATGAGATGTGAAAAAGGAGAAAGGGAGAAAAGTTAGCATATGAGAAGTTTTTTAAAAAGTAAAGGATTGAAGGGGAAAGTATATGGAAAAAAAAGAGAGGGTTAAGAGAGTGGTAAAGCAAATGTAAAAAGAGAGCAAATGAGGTGGGTGAGTTTTATCAACAAATTTTTGTTGAAAATAAGAAAAATTTTTGGAGTAAATTTAAAAAGTTAAGAACCCAAGAAAAAATGGTTTTGTAGTTAAAAATAGGAGAGGAGGTTTTTAAATGGAGAGTTGGGTAGGGGAGTGGAGGGAATATTTTGAGGAATTGAAAATTTTGATGAAGATGGGGAAAAGCCGTGATTTGTGTATAGGGCAAAAAGGGAACAACATCTTGTAAGAGTGAGGAAGAGCTTTGTGAAGTGGGGGGGAAGTTCGTGAGGCAGTGGGTAAATGAAGGGGGTAAGGCAGCGGGGGGATTGATGGATAAAGACAGAAATGTTAAAAGAAAGTGGGGTATTTTTTGGGTGGTTGGTGCAATTATTAAAAAATGTATGGAAGAGGGTAAGGTCCTGGGATTGGCAGAGAGAATGCATTTTCCCTTTGTATAAAGGCAAAGGGGATAAAAGGGTGCAAAAATTATAGGGGGATAAGTCTGTTGATTTAAACCTGGCAAAGGTAGGTAGAGTATTTTTGAAAAAATTTAAAGGAAAGACGGAGAAAGGATGCAATGAACAAGGAGGTTTGGGAAAAGGTAGGGGGGTGTGGCCCGGGTGTTTACAGTGAAAATTTTAATGAACAGTTTAGATAAGGCTAAAGGGTCTTTGTGGCATTTTGGTTTGGGAAAAGGCGTAGACAGGTGGATAGGGTGGCAATGTGGCAGATGTTGGGGTGTTGGTGCAGGATTAGGTTACGAAGCAGTGAAGATTTTTTTCGGGGATATGAGGCTCAAGTTAGAGTATGTAAAAAAAGAGGGAAATTATTTCCCATAAAGTAGGCCTTAGACAGGAGTGTGTGCACCGTGGTTGTTTATTATATTAAGATGGGGTTGTAAGAGAATAAATGCGAGGTCTTGGCAAGAGGCGTGGAGTTAAAAGATAAAGAACCCAACAAAAAAAAATGCGATTTGTCACATTCTCTTTGCTAATGAACTGTGCTTTGGGAGTTTTTGAAGAGAAGTTCAGAGATTTGGGGTTTAAATTTTTTTTAGGGTTGCAAAAAAAAGAAAAATTTAAAATGAATACAGGAAAGTAAGGTTATGAGGATAACAAAAGATTAGGTGAGAAAAATTGGGTATCAGATTGGGA